ATTATGACTTAGCCTATTTATTACTTAACTATTACTATTTAACTATTACTTTAATCAGAAACATTCTCAATTGTGTACCCCATGCCATCCTTGTACTTCTGAATGAGTTGCTGCTTCTCCTCCTTGTCCTCCACCCAGTATTCGCTTGGTATGACAAAGTTCGATGTGATTCGACACTCTGGGCAGGACCTGATTAGGAACACATTAATTTGTTACTAAAAATATGGTTCTTCCTTTTACACCAGCACTGATTTTTAAAAGAAGAGGTGGACAATTACAATTAGCGATAATAATCCTAAACTAACGATCATAGTATTTGAAGTGATTAAAGATCATCTCCCCAGAATCCTATTCAACTTAATACACGTGTAATTATCTTACTTTATGGACGGTCTTACTTTATGATCTTGCTCTCGAACTGCTTGGCGCTCCGCCATTTCCTGATGCACTTGAGGCAGTAACAGTGGCTGCAGTTGGAGAGGATGCCGAAACGGCGTTCGCTGGGGTTGGTTTTCTCGAACACCACCTCCATGCACACGCCACACATCATATCTTTACTTCGCTGGACAGCAAACGAGATTTCCATGTCCTTCTCGTGAGCCTCAATGCAGGCCTGCCGTTAACAAACAATATGAGATTTTACTCTGAAACGTTCAAAAGAGTCTGAGAACAGGATGTCAACTCCGTACTCACCCTGATGTGTTGCGAGCGCTGAGAGGAGTCGGAAGGGTGGAGAACCTGTAGGCCACACATGTCGCAAACGTCTCCGTGGAGGTAGGCGCAGTTGAGGCCATAGCGACATTCGCCGACAGCGGCGTACGGGCAAAGCTGTTTCTTCATTTCTTTGTTAGCTAGTTCTTTCTCGTACTCTTCTTCGATGAGAGGTCCAGGCCCCTCAAGCGGCACTGGGTCAGCTGCAGAGGGAACAAAAGAGGAATGATTTTAAAGGAATAGTTCACCTAGAAATGAAAATTCTGTCATTAATTACTCACCCTCGTGTCATTCCAACCCCCTAAGACCTTCTTTCATCTTCTGAACACAAAGGAAGATATTTTTGATGAAATCCGAGAGCTTTCTGACCCTGCATAGACAACAATGCAACTGACACATTCAAGGCCCAGAAAGGTAGTAAGGACATCCTTAAAATAGTCCATGTGACATCAGTTTCAACCATTTTACGAAGCTACGAGAATACTTTTTGTGTGCAAAGAAAACAAAAATAATTACTTTACTGAACAATTTCTTCGCCATTCACGAGAGTATCACGAAGAATAGAAGGACTGACCTTGAAGAGAAGAAATCATTGAATAAAGCCTTTATTTTTGTATGTAGTTCCATTGCGGTCTATGGAGGGTCAGAAAGCTCTCGGAGTTCATCAAAAATATCTTAGTTTGTGTTCTTACGGGTTTGGAATGACATGAGGGCGAGTAATTAATGACAGAATTTTTCATTTTTGGGTGAACTAACCCTTTAAGGTTTAAAGACCAGGTTCCTGGGATAGGGATAGAAAATCAACCACGTTATTGTGGTGTAGGCTGAAGAATACCAATCTTTTTGTTTACAATCTAAAGGAGACACCACAAACGACAGAAATTATTTGAAAAAAAATTCAGTCCTTCAGATTTTCACACAAATGACCTGAAAGAAATTTGAAAAAGAAACGGCAAGATTTATTGACGTATTTGGCGGTTTCGTAATGTGGTCTACCACAGTAAACGCTGGAGGAAAAGCACCTGCTTTCCTGAACGTAGGAGTTTTGTGCCGCCCCCCAAAGACTAGGAAAGAAACAGCACTGTTCCTTCAGCTCTTTGCTGATGAAGTCACCCTTTAAGAAAAATGTAAGTGGGTCTGGGCCAACAAGAACAAGAGAGCACACTGGTAGAGCACAGCTTGAGCTCTGCTGCGTGTGCAGGGTCAGTCCAAATTTAGTGATTATTTATGCATTATAAAACGGCTAGTTTTGATCATATGTGCCACATTTGAAGTAGTCATGAAATGGCGATAAATGCACACCTGTGGCCAAACATTCTATAAGAGTTGCTACATTGCTTGGCAACTGTAAAAAGCCTACAGTTAATGAGCTACATTACGCCACGGCAGTGTTATTTATATATTATAGTATTCATTTACATTTTGAATGTCATTTTAAAGTCAAATTTATGTGCTTTTGTCATTTCTTTAGATTTCTTACATTTAGCGTTTATTTTTATTTCAGCTTTAGTAATTTTCTTAAGTTTCCCCCGTATAATTTGTATAGTTTTAAATCATTTTATTTAATTGAAATAAACCTGAAATAAAATAGTTTGTTTTGATTTACAATAACAACATTACTACACAGAAGAATTCCTGTTTCTAAATGCAATTTTTTTATTGAACAGTGGCATTATTTTCTTCATGTTGCAGTAATTTTACCCCCGTTTTTAGGTTTAGCAATGGCTTCACGGTGTGTGTCGGCACAGCATTCCTTGGTGTTCATCCCAAGCTCATGGTTTTTCGATACCCAAGGAATGCAGTTCAATGCACATCAGAGTATTGATCAGAGTAAGAGAATCCAGATACATTTTGTCTAATTTATTTTTTTTCCAGGAAGTGAAAATCAGTTCCTTTGGTTCTTGTAAACACCACTGAAGAAGCATGCCACAAAAATAGTAACCACCACAACAGTTACAGCGTTATTATGACAAACCAAAGCATTGGTCAAACAAATAGATATAAAATAAAAGCCTAATTGTAAAAGAGCCTTCATATTGAAAACTGAATGCCTGGCTTATCACAGTGTTTTCACAGATTGACAACTGAACATGTTTCCCTGCTACACTCACCCCTCCCACAGTAGGGCTGCCCTGGCACGAACTCAGCAGCATTGACCCAGTCCACTGCCCCCAAGCCTTGGGGCTTCTCCTGGGCATCGGTCGTACCACCTGGCCCATCAGACACGGGTTCAGGAGTGCCAGCAAGGGGAGCAGCGGTCAGCGGCACCAGCGGCTTAGAACTAGGGACTTCGTCTTGCTTGGCAGGTTTAGTATGTTCGTACCTGAGGCACAATGCAAATTTAGTGAAAATACAATAAAATGTGGACTGATAAAGCAGGTAAGCCATGCAATGAAAATGCATCCCTAGGCCTACGTAGTTTCTCTAAAATGAAAGCATCTAAATGAAAAACTTGTTCTCTGTGGTGGTTATGAAATGTAATTACATTTTTGCTAGTGTAAATACACAGAAATAACATTTAAGTGAGTGTTGGCTGTTATTAAAACAATGTGCTTAGATAAACTATTTTAGACAGGCTTTAGCACCTTATAATCATTAAGCGGCTGGGTGTTTTTCTGTCTTAGGTGTCAAGAGTGTTTCCCCACTGGTGATATTTTTTTCTCAAGCTGATACAGTCACAAACTTGAAGACTTGTGTGTGGTTACCATGGTGAGTACATGCCTTGTTCACACTCATAATGCAGCAGTTAGCCTCTTTCAGAAGCGATTCATTTAAATACGTAACATTTCCGAGTGGGTTTTACAGCACAAACTGTCTGCAGTCTTCACCATGCTAATGAAAACACAATGGCTAATCATTTCAAGACTAAAAACAATAGAAGAAAACAAATGTAGGTAAACTAGTCAACCGTACTAGTGTACAAGAACACGTTTTAAATAGTGTTGGGTTGCTTGCATCTCAGGGAATGTTTCAGACAACATAATTGTTAATAAGGAACAGCTAGCTTTCCCATACAATGATTGTTTAAGACAATAACCAATCCATTTGAATTCCTCAAGAGGATAATGATATGATTGTAATTCGGTAATAATGGAATTACAAGGTTTTTATTAAGAAGTATGATTCACCAATGTTATTAAAAAAAATCACTTTTTTTTAACAGCGTTCATGGTACAGTCTAATAAGTAATGAGTTGCTCATTATTCATAAGTAATGAGTAATATAAAATGACATGTACATGCTGTGTATTTACTTTGTAAATCTACTTGTACGTACACATTGCTATTCCTTTATGCATTTTTTTTTCATTTCTAGCTGTTTTCACTTTAATTTGAGCTGCAGAAACAATAGTCAATTTATTAAGTAATATCAAATAAATAATAATTGAATATAAATTAATTAGAAAATAATATTAAAACAAGAATGACATTACAATTTCTCAAAAATATTACAAGAAACCAATACATAAATATGCCATGCACTCATAGCATACTATTATTTAAGATAGCTAACAAGCCTGATGACATTGTCATAACATATAGTTTAGCATCTGACCTTTATATTTATCTTTATTCCCCATCAAAACACGCTTCAGTGCTTTCCTTAAGCATCCAGAGACCTCTCCATCCTCAAACCTCTTGGGTCATTCAGCCCTATTTTAGCCCAATGCGTGTTTGCGCGCGTGTGTCGGCCTATACGTGGGGGTCGCATAAATAAATGACACAGCGGTGGAAGCACAAGTGGCTACTGCAGAATGGCGGAATGAACCGAATGAACCTGACGGCGGTAGCAACAGCAGCAGAAGGAGACAGAGAGAGAGAGAGAGAGGGATGCATGTTAACACACTGGGGTTATGTAATTGCCCTGCAGGCTGCAGTGTGCTGCTCTATTTGGCCCCCAGATTGATGGGGGTGGGGGGTGGGCACATGGAAGGAGACCGCAAGAGACCGAGATAGACACAAAGCAGCAAAGAAGAATCCATCCATAATGAAGCATACACTGAGCCCCTTTCTACACACACTTAATGAAAGCTCACCCCCCCTTCCTCGCAAAACACACAGGAAAAAATAATGCAGTAAACCCCATATGGGAACAAAAACATCACTGCACCTCCCTATACATCTGCTGACAATACAACTCTGTCAGACATCAATCTATCCTCCAGACATCAGATATTTAAGCTCAAGACCCTGTAACGGCAGGAAACAGTCCTCTCAAGCCGAGCAAGAGGGAGCTCTCAGTCAGATGTAATACTGTCATAGAACAGCCTCGGCAAACAAAGACATTCCCATACTGCCGAGCTGGGGGCAGCAGTTACTATGGGGATACACTTGACCGCAGACAGATATGAGACAAACATTGTCTACACTGTCTGGCTCGCAGGCTAATTTTTTACTCCGCTTCCAGCACCAATGCATTTGACTGCAATGGCTAAAGATGGTGTGTTTGTAGGCCATTTCTTTCTGTGTTTCTAAAGGTATCTAAACACCTAAAAATAAGAAATGGCCTACAAACAGACCATTTGAATGTGTTGCATTAGTTTTGGCATTTATATGTCTACAGACAGCATTAATACAACACAAATGTAAACAGACGGTTTGTAGGCCATTTCTTTTTGAGTGCACTTGGTGTGCTTAGGTATGAAAACGCCAACATTCATGTAGCACGAATGCGTATAATGCAAACACAACTCAACCTGTAATAGCTCTTAAAGTGACAGTTCAGGCAAAAATTTTTATTCTTGATGCTCCAAACCTGTATGACCTCATTTGAGGTCATGTGTACGACCACTTACAATGACAGTCAGTGATAGCCGATGTTGTTTATGGGCAAAAATGCTCTTCAAAATATCTTTTGTGTTTTGCAGCAAAAAGACACTCGCACAGCTTTAGGAATTAAAAAATTATGACCGAATATTCAATTTGGGTGAACTATCCCTTTAAGAAAGCAACAAACTCAACCACTTGTTTACAGAAAATTCTGCATCTCGGATATCACGGGTACGTAATGAAGCAACACGCAACACTTCTCTGAAGCCTTGCTTACCGCTACTACATTTAAACACACTCACGTGTTACGGCCCCAAACACAGAAATGCAATTACATTACCTTTGATGGTATGTAATATCTACACAGATCTAATTAAGAGATCAGCGGTTGTTTTGAAGCACATTTAATTTCAAGTCTTACGTTTCATCATTGTATCTCTTACCTGCACCGGTCCCCAAAAGCACAGCATCCCTTTTGAAAGAACTTGCAGATCATGGTTGGCTTGCAGCTATTGAGGTCATGTAAATATCGACAGTTGTCGCCCTCTTTGCAAAGCCCGTGCATGAAATACCTACAAATAAAAGTTTTTTTGAGCTTGATATGAGCTTTGTGGCATCCTAACATAAAATGATCAATATCCATCTCATACCAATAAGCATCAGAGCCTTAAAAAGCCTATGGCTATGATTCATAATACACTACCCACATCATTTACTGTATAAACAGCTTGACCCAAATAACCCTTCAAATGTGCATGTTAGGACAAGAGTGCTAATGTAAACATTACATATTACTTGGGTTTGTAATCTCAAAAATACCTACTTACATTTTTTACAGTTTTGTGGGTAAATAAAAAGGTTATTTTGTGCAGTCATGACTGGACTAGGATAAAGCTTGGTAAATGAATTCATATACATAAATCATCGAGACTGACACTGACACATTGGCTGCTTCCCAAACTGGTAAACTCAAGGTTTTTAATGGCTTCCTTGAATAGGTTACTCTTTACTGTCAAACTCACTGCCATGTGTGGCTGATGCAGTGCCTGTTGTTTTTCACAAACACGGATGTTGCCGAGCTAAACACACACAGACAGAGGAAGAAAGGACCGCAAATAGCAGCCGCTGTCGTACTGATCGCTGCGTTACAACAACAAACACACACACACTCCTCCAGTTCAGCACAAAGACAGCGGCGCTATCCGATGCCTCGCCATCGACACACGGACACGAGGTTGCGTTTTATATTTGTGACCGTTTAATATTGCGACAGCCGCGTTCCTCGGCTGATTTTCACTAACCTGCAGGGTACGTGCTTCGTCCAGCCTCCGATAACTGCTGGAGCCGCTGTTGACGCTGCCGCTGCCTCCGCCATTGCTGTTTATGTTGAAGCCCCAGCACCCGGATCTTCCGGAAAGCGGCTGTTCTGCGCTCGGCCATTTTCGGAAAACCGAATGCGTCGTACTTGATCGAGTGTTTTCGGAAAACAAAAACCGCATCGTAATCGGGTGTTTTCGGAAAACCGAAGCCATAACACGAGTCAGGTGCCTTACTAAAACATTCCAATAAAAGTAATTGCTAATAAAATAGGGGAAACGCCTCTTCAAATGTAATACATTATCAACATACCCTAAAAATAAATTTTTTTTGGCTGTTAATATGCTTGGACTTTTTAGAATGTATTCAAATGTTCTTTTTCTAAATCGAGGACAGTTTGTACTTAATTTGATCGGACACAAATTTGAGTCCAGAAACTTTTTGGAGTGAATATTGAGAATAAAATATTAAAGATATTAAAATCTTAACTGGTAGGCCTATGGTTTTGCTCAGATTTGCTATAGCATTCGATCTGCCTTCTTTAAAATGAGTAAAGTGTAATTTCCAAGCTAATTATTTTAATTGATGCCATATAGATTAGATTGTTCTCTGAAAAGCAGACCGAATTAGATATTGCTTTCCCTTGTTTCATGTTTCAAAACGTTATGGAGAGTTTACACGTAAATGCCAAAACCTACTGCTTAGTTGCCAAATATTACACACTTCAAATATAGCAAAGGGAAAGAAGGTAGAAATAGCAAACAGATAATGCAATGTTTTGCTGGGAATTTTAAAAAGCACACTTTTCCCAAAGCAAATAGAAAATTTGTTGTAATTTGTTTGGAATTCCTTTAAAGAAGTCCTATTGCTTATTGAACATACCATGATTAATAACTGTCCTTAAGAGGAACCATGCATGCACATATTTTTTGTATTATTTGCTCATTTATAGTTTCTTCAATCGTTCTTGGTCATTAATAATTCTGCATACACTATGCTTTATAAGCAGCTTCTTGAGAGGAAAGATGCCTGAGCACCAAACATAGTATATTCTGAAGAAATGTTTTCAAATATATATTTTTAAAAAAAATCAACTTCTTCTATTAATTAATTCATTCCATAATATAAACAAAGGTGCATAATCACATGTCAGATGTAAACAGGTGTTCTTGTACGACAGTGGTAAGGAAAGTCCCTTCAATGTTCCTTTTTACACCTGACCTAAGAGATGTCACCACAACAAAAGGCCGAGTATTTCTCTCTCCTAAAACCATTATAATTGTGACTGGTGTTAAATATTTAAAAGCTCATTATTAAACAAATCCCTGGCATCCCCTGGATTTCTGTGGTATTGATATTTAATTAGTGCATTAACATTTTCAATGAAATCCGTTAATGCTCTTTCTCTCTCTATAAACACACCCAAATAAATAAAATAGATAGCACCGATGGAAGTTGTTGCAACTACAGCTTTAACATACGCATTAATATGGATGAGTAAATATGCAAATGTGCAGTAACAAGGGAAGTCATATTAAAATGCAACCTTTCAGTAATGAAACTAAACTAACTAAATGTGTGGTAGATACATTTAATATAAACTATATATATATATATATATATATATATATATATATATATATATATATCTATTCAGTTGCACACTTAGCAAAAT